ACTGAGGTTTGAGGTCTTCGTTTGGAACGAAGCATTTTCTCAAACGAACGCTGAGTTCTCACTCCTCCATGTTCTATCCTTTTAAGTGCTTTTTGAGTGCCTTTAGAGTTTGCAAAGTTAGCGGGTTTCTGAAGCAATAGCGGGGCTACGACAGTACGATTGATTGCTCGATATCCTATCGCTTTCTGTCCAGCAACCGTTCTATGTCTGATATGCGTGATACTCGATCCTTAAGCTGTGGATCACTCTGTGTGCGTACGCAATGCTTGTCACTAGTTGTCGAATCGATTTGCAGACTCCGCATACCGACGTCAGGCGATCGACAAGGTGCTGGTGACATTAGCACGCTATTACTACAGGAGCAGACTCGGTACGCTGCAAAGCCTGACCTTGTGTAATTACAGCGCTTGCAAATCACCTACCCAGAATGACTTTTACTTTCGTTTCCATTTCAAACGTGCTGACAAGTACCAGTTTTCGCTTTATGACATGAGGCTGCTTGAGGTATAAGCAAACGATCGGTCCTAAGAGATAATACGCCTGCACAGATCAAAATTCAAATAATCATTCAGTTCTCGTCCGTGACTGTCACGACGCCTGTCGATTGTTTAGCGATGACCTGTCCCACGTGTTTCTGCTGGTCGCTAACGTAGCTTCGCTAGACGACAACATTACAGTACTACAAGATATCGACAGTACCATGAGAGGAAGTTTCTAATCGTACGGTGTGCTGGCTATTGCCCCAGTCGATACAACTTGTCTTTCATCTTTATGGGTATATGAATAAGCAGCACTCTGTAGAAAGGCAGCAAAGAACTGTACCCTTGCGTGACTACAAAGCCGTGGACACTGCCTTGAAAACATGTGGCATTCTTGCATGAGAGAAGACTCTCTGACATTTGTGTAAATGTGTTGATTGCGGATGACCTTGCTTTTCAAGTATCTTCCAAAAGTGAGCTTCAGCGCTCTCTGGAAAGATTCACAGTCGTGTGTGACATAACCGCAATGCGTGTGAAGTTTTCTAAAACCAAAGCCTGGTGCTCTCTCGGTCTCCTGTCCGTTGCTCTCGTCAGACAAACGGAGAAGCGGTGAAACAGGTGGAAAAGTTCACTACCTCTGCATCGTTTTCACCGGTGATGAAAAATTAAGCGAAAAGATTGACATGGACCTTTGTGACTACTGTAGATATGAGTTTGAAGACTATGCTGTCCGTGTTGACATCGATCTTCATCGTAATGCTCAATGCTCACCAACGGCCATGAATCGTGGACCAAGACTGAAAAATTTCATTCCCGAGTATAGGCGGCTGAAATAGCCTCTTGAAGACAAAAACTGTTTACCTCACGCGTCTCGGCCAGAGCACACATATCCGAGAAACTTTTGGTGTACAGACGCTGCAACTTTGCGACGGTTTTGGCACACACTGCGAATACCTTCAGGAAAGAAGGCAATGGTATCTACGATTGAGCAGAGGCGTCGCCGATGGCTACGAATATTCTAGGGCAAGTGTCTGGGAGAACTCTATTCCAACCAAGGGTCGTCTTCTGCCGATATTGAAACGCTGGCGCAGGATCGGGAAAATTAGGTTCACTATTTGATGCGACCTGGAAGGATGGGTCGCCATCGAATGAGCAATATGCTTATTCATCATCAATGATTTTTTGGAGGTAGTTGCCATATATGCTTATCCTGTGTAGAATACTATATCTTACAATGTATATTGACCCGCAGAATACGTTGACATAGTTTATGCATGCTGTATTTACAGATCCGAAGTGGTGGTAGAAACTACGTACTGTAGAGGGACAACGCGACGAGTGATGAGCGAAATAACCGTGGTACAAAATGAATCAGTGATGTGATTCATTTGACGTGTTCTATAATTGTTGTGGCTGAGCGCCTACTGGGTGTCCGGCATACGTTAACTTAGTTTCAAGTGGAAAACCGAGCACCGCTGAAGGCAGCTGAGGTCGCAACAACGAACTCAGCGGTAACGGTCTGTGCTGCGAGACTCAACGTAAAGAATTTAATTTTGAAGGCAGTGCTGTTCTTTGTTTTCAATTCAAGAGAAGAATTCAATTTCCGATGTTAAGTCAGAAAAACGACCTCAGACGAAAATCTGTTTTTGAAGAGGACGTATGAATTTTGTTTTTTTGCTTGTTCATAAGTGTGTTTATTTTTTTGAGTTATTTCTATTTTGGAAAATTTTCTGCCCATTCAGGGGCCTAGCAGATATGCAGAAAGTGAGTTTCTTGAGTGGGCTGGCTTTGAAAAAAGAGCTACTGTCACTTCTCTTACTGATTGTTCTATCATTTTTAAGTTAGGCACGAAAAATTAAAAGAACTATAACTTATGCAATTTGCATATAATCAATCATTCCTGTCAGATAAACATCGGTGTTGTCGTTGCATCAATCCGCCTGTCGCAGTCATGTTTTGCCAAATTGTGTGTTATTATTCGCTCTCGTACGTGGTTGCTGCCATTGAATTAATTTTAAGCTTAGTTTCTCTCGCGCTCCCGTGCAGACACAGTAAGCCGCCAACTTTCGTATGATTAGACACGATGGAAGAAGAAGGCACCAAGTTATTGGCAAGGTAGTGTCTTCGTGTGATTCATTTGCTGAAGATGTTTAGGAGTTCGAATGTGAAAGAAAAAGAGAAAAGAAAAGGACGCAGACTTTTCCTATAACATCATTTTTACACACGTCTGCTGGCCTTTTTTATGTTTGTACCTGGCGATCGGTTGACCAGTGGAAGAATCGGACTGATGAAAGTCCGAGGTGGACCAGCTGCTCCCGTGCGTCGGCCTTTCAGAACCAGAGATTCGTTCACTGCAAACGACCAGGAAGAAACCTTCAGATTCTGCAGACTCATTGGTCCATCGACAGTGACGAACTCAACAGAACCAGCTATCTATGTGTAGTGATGTGTCTGACAACGAAGTCCACCGTTTCTTTATGGAACCGCATTTCAGTGCCTCACTTGTATTTCACTTCTCCGGATTCGATCAGCATGAATCGTCCAGTTGCGTTGCCTCTATAGACCTCAGGGTTTCTTAATGCGAACCGCGGCTCCTGCAGGCAGTTCATAAATTTTGCATTTTGGTCAATTACAGCAGCTGAGAGGAAAAAATGTGAAGCCGTCTACTTTGAAACGTCCAAGCACGCAACCTACCTTCATCTATTTTCATGGACATCGAATATTGAACGAAAGAGGGCGGACAGCATGGAGACAAACAACAGAAATGAAGCTCTCCCCAGGACACATAAAATCCCTGTTACAGAAGTACCGTAACATACTGTTCGAAGCGTTCAAACTAATATCCTATGTACTGATAGCTCTATGTCTTACGCGGTGTTAAAAACTATTTGGAAACCACCATATAATAGTCATCAAACAATCATCGTCAAAAATTTGCAGCCACACGCACAACCAGGATTTTTCAATTTTTGGACAAAAGTTTCTTGCATGCAACGTACAGCACAGTACGGTTCTGATCTCTCTTTCCAATGGAAAGACCTTAGGAGCGTTTTCAACGTAAAGGCAATATACATGACCATATTTCAACGCAGCATAAGGATTCCTGCTTTCTTCTACCGCATGGTTAGTGCGTCTGGCGTTTCTTTACTTCAGAAGAAGGAAAGGCGAGTTGTTCACCTAGGAAATCGACCCTCTACCGGCCTCAAACCGTAAACTTATCCCAAAGAGGTACTAGTTGGAAATCTTGGTAATTGCTTAGTACCATTTAATAAATTTGGTGTCCTTTGCTGAAACAGAGTCCTGGAAGTTCTACAGCAGCTCGCTCCAGTACGATCAGAGGTAACCCTGGCCGCCCCTCGCTAATTATGCCTGCCCGTAACATCAACATGTGCTTAACTTTTCCTAATCTTCTGGACTCTGCCAAGATTGCCCAGGTTATGACCATAGTTCATGAAGGTTGACAATTGGAATGCTCCTGCACAACCACTAGCTGAAGAAATGAGACTCCAGACAGGAACAGATGTTGTAGGAGGATTGCTTGTGTTGGTTGCGCACCTACAGGTCAGAAGAAGAATTATAATATATTAAGATGTATTATGGAACCCAGTGCCTCATTGTTTCTCCATTGCTAGTGGAGCACAGTGGAGAAAGCATATAGAAAGTCAGCTAGATTCAGTATCCCGGCTGAATCGGATCTAGCGATGGCATCATCTAGTCAAAACTAAATAGAACGATCTCCTCAACTCCCGCGCTTCTCAAAATTCTGAACAAGGAACACCCCTTTACTCAAAAATCCGCTTTGCCTTTCCTCTGTAAAACGAGTGCTACTGTACGGCATGGAAGCAGGTATACTAAGAAAGGACCGTAAACAACAATTGAACCGCCTACAGATGCGTTGGCCTCGACGCATGAAGGTTAATTAACAGGACATCTAAAAGGTGACTCCCTTCCCTTAGAAGCACAGCCGACTCCAACTGTAATTTAAAAGCAGAGGTCGGTGTTAAACTTATTGAATCAATACTCAATATTATATTCAATTACTCCAGTCCATGAGCCTCTCGCCGGGTAGCCGAAACATAGATGCATAGATGCATGGATGCATATGTCGACCAGGAGGACCAACATGCCACATGGAGGAATGAAGTAGAGGTAGATTTCATTTTGGAGAGGAATGTTTCTTTCTACGATGCAGTAAGCACTGTCTTATAACAAAAATGTTGTAAAACTGTAAACTCAATAAACGTCAGAAACCAAAGATGTTCTAACGTTGAACAATCCAAGGTCA